TATTTTTCGTCATATTTTCGGAATTTATAGTCGGATCATGAAGTATAATAAATCGAGGTGTCATCGAAAAATGTAAACCAAGCCTAGAAAAATTCCACAAATTTTTAACTAAATTTCGAGCTTTTTAACCTGACTTTTTATAAATATTTTGGGTATGCACTTAACAGGCTTATAAAATTTCAGTAAAATAAAAATTTTCGCTTGAAATACATTGTAAATATCAACAACAAAACACCATTCATCCATTTTTGACCGCCACTGTATATAAATAAGTATCTTTGGTTTTTGGGGGTTTTATACAACTTCTTAAGTTTCGAAAATTTTCACTAATTAAGCTCATTGGCCTAATCTTCCGGCTGGCTGGCCTCAGCGCTGCAGAATAGCCACCAACGTCGACAATGTCGCTAACATCGACATACATATGTATGTATGTATGTATATAAACTTAAAAACAAGAAAACCTAAAGCATCGAAACCATGATAAGACAACAACATACCCATTTGCCGCATCTTGAATTTCCTTCTGATCGGTACCGGCGATTGTGTTGCGTCGCTTGCCGCGTACTCGCCGCGAACGTGAACGTCGGCTCACCGTTTGAACATCATCGTTCAGATTATTCGTCTCGGCCATGTTGCCGGTGTAGCAACCGGTTGTGGATTTGCGCGCCGCACACATGCGCTGGAAACGTTTGCCCGATGTGTCCACCGAGATCACTTCGGCGGGATACCTAGTTGAAGGAGAGATGAAAAAAGAATACAGAAAATAAGCAAATTGTTGGCATTGAGGATCATCTCATGGTTCTACAGCATTTGCACAGGAAAGAAGTATGTAAGTACATAAGTGGTAGACTACTAAAATTGGATAAACAAAAGCCGCCATACATTCGCCAACAGTTAGCGACTAGCGAAGCGAACGAAATCAATGCGGTACAACCAAACTTGCCAACGTCCATCACTAACTACTACTATTTGCTACAAAGATATCGTTTTTGTTGCTTTCGCATAAAAAATTTGCGTTAAACGAGCTTAACTAAAACATAGCGAGCAGAGAAGTGGCGAATCGAAAGCGGCTAATAAAATTGCATTCTAAATAGTCGATCAAAGGGGCGTTCAACAGCAGCGGTGGTGGTGCAACTGCGGTAGCCCGTTTCACGATCAGCAATTGAATGGGGCAGCGTTTTAAAGTCGAGGTCGTAGTTGTTTTTAGTTCTTCTCGTTCTCATAGTGTGGTGGGTTAGCTTAGTATTACACGTACATAGTATTTTTTTAAGTTTTTAATTTTTTAGTTTGCTGTGTTGTCTTCTTACCCGGTTGGAATGGATAATTTAGAGGTTAATTGCATTCAAAGCCATTAAAATAGATCACGAAGTTATCTTATTAATTTTCATTGGACTATGCGGTAATTTCCAACGATATTGTACAAATATCTTTACAAGTATGTATGTATAAACGTATGTGCGTATGTATGCATGTATGGGTGTGCAACTACACTGAATGATGTAAGTTTTTTTCCTAGGTTCCTGTTCAGGGTTATAATTCTTATAAGGGCAATTAAAATGCTACTTAAATTGCGATTGAAGATGAAATTGACCATCTCTTATTGCCTGAAATTTTTGAATTTGAAGTTTTCCAGGGAATTAATACAAAATAGTCAAGCTTTGTAATAAGTAGAGGAAATTTTTGCATGGATTTTCCTTTAATTGTTTTAAATAACATATATCTATCGATACGTATGTATATATGTATATACAATATATCAAAAGATCCCATCGATCTAAGTGCAGGTGTCAAAGGTCCAAATAAACCATTATTTGCGAAAATATTGTTAGCGGCCACTTTCAGCCTTATTAACAAAAACAAAGTTGTTCGAGTCAAGCAAAAAATCCCGGTGGTATATTTAGGCACGGTTGTGTCCTGTATATATATGTATTTATATACCCTCAGTTTATTAACATAACGAAATTTTCACGCCTAGGTAAAATTTTGAGTAAACAAAATTTATCGTTGCATCGGGCATTTTCGAAATATTTCTAACTGAAACCAATAGTTTCTAATTTCACTTCTTTAGCTTGGTAGACATTTCTAAAGGGTCGCATCATTTCAAAAACTTATATAAATCGAGAATAGTGACACAAGTTTTACCTCAATGAGCATTTATTCGCCTTTAAATTAAATTCGGACACGGGATTTAGATTCAGCGCAAAAAATTGCATAGGAAATAGATAGTCTAGGATCTGGGATTTTCCATAATTTTGTTGGCCTGTGTTATTAGTGCAACACCCCAGGATACTTGATAAGCGTAAAAAATAAATAGTTATCTGTGCAATAGAGCTCTTTCTTATAGGAGTGCTACAAAGGTGTTCCTCAAGATTCCGTCTTTGGTCCGTTGCTGTGGATCATTGCCTACGATGGAGTCTCACGCCTGCCTGTTCCAAAAGGTCTTTAAATAATTAGCTATGTATGTATATGATATTGCGCTAACTGTCATAGCGGAAGTTATGCTGCTAACTTGGTCGATGAATGGCTTAAGGTTAAAGGTTGGTAGCTGACTATTCAGAAAACTGAAGGTGTAGATTCTTTTAACAAGAAGGGAGAAAAATGTGGAACTGAATGCAAGTGTGTATGTAGCTGAGACCATCCCAGCAGTAAGATACTTAGGTGTGATGATGTATGCTAGGTTATCATACTTAATATACATTGAAACGGTCAGTAAAAAAGGCTGCTTGTTTGCTGGTATAATGCCTGCGCACCTATTTGACGTCCCGTTTCAAAGGCAGATTCCTCTCTAAACACGAGACCGCGGCCGAACTCCAAAAAAGATCCACCTAATGGAAATAACGGCTGGTCGCTGGACTTTTAGACTCATTGCGAGTATCAAAACCTAGCTAATCAGATTACAGGGCGAAGTAAATTTTTATATTACCCAACTTCTGAGTGGGCATGGTTGTTTCAGACAGTATTTCTGTAAGGCCATGTTGATACAATATCATTTGGTTAATGTGTAGTATACCGGAAACTGCCGAGTATATATTCTTTATTGCCCGTATTTTTCGGCCAAAAGCAACGAATTAAAGAATTTGAATCTGGGTAATCCGAGCGCTGAAAATTTGGTATTTGGCCTGGGCTGTAGTGAAATCCTTTAGTAAAGAAACAATGATGAGAGAAGATAGGCTTTCCTCGAAGCGCATTCGGCAGAACACTCCCCCTCTCTGATAAAATGCGAAAGCAGTCCCGGGGAGTCGGCTTCATCAAACAAAAAAAAACATAGATGAAAAATAGGCTCGTTGTGGTACTATATGGAGATGCCAATTCCTTTCGATGTTAAAAGGTCAATCGGGTACAACCCACTTTGTTTTTGCTATAAGCTTTGCTAAAGGCCCGTTACACACAGGCGAGATTTCGACAAGGTCTTGCAAAAATGGTTTACCGGGCTTACGCAATATGCTTTTGGTATAAAACATGCTGCACATTTTCTTTTCCATCCATGAACTGTACTATGACTTTCCTCACAGTTAAACTAGATAAAATGGGTTTCCAGCATGCTTTGGATAATTGAGATTTAGATCGTTAGATCTTCTTCTACTACTGTATTTGAATGTGGCCATTTGCATAGTTAGCCGTGCCCTGTCTTGTAATTCTTTAGTTTTGCAATTGCCCTCTGATATCCAGGCGTCGAGGCATTAATATTTCCGGCATAATATGGGACCATCTCATTTAGCGATACAGCGCATTCACTTTTGGCATTTATCGAGAGTCAACTAAAACCTTCGCCAGCACCCCTTCTTGAATACCGTCATCTGATACCCACTAGCTCGAGTTTACTCTTAGGAACTGTGATACTTTGGCTGTGGCTCCGATATGGTTATGCCCTAAGTAAAAAAAAAAACAAAAACATAAATATCCGGAATTAAACCCCATATTTTCACATGGCCAACTAAGGCAAATCATCGAATTTTCTCATCATTCAACTCCGTTGAAACTGCTCGTTTCCTTCGTCTACCGTTAGATAAAATTAAGATAGCTTCTAATAGGATTCTCTCATTTAGGCAGAGGTTAGTTAGATGCTACAAATGCAAAAATATTGTTCAGCTTTACATTTTTAATACCATCCTGCCTAGGAGCAAGCGTAGCATATGTATGCCCCAATTTTGGTGGGAATATTTCTATTTTTACTCAAGTTATCGTTTGTATGGGCGGCCGGTCAGAAAAACATGATGTGATTTATTTCATTTCTCTTGGCATTAAGTAATAGAAAACAATCGGATAGGCAGTGCGCCACTAGAATTATTGAACATGATCGTAAAACTAAAGCCGCCACAGGTGTTCAAAATTAGCGCAGCCGCAAAAGCGCCTTAGATTTAGAGAATCAAAGATATGGAAGCACGTCGAATGCGGCCATATATCGTTCGCAAGTGAATTGAAAATAGGACGACATAGCGAAATGAAGGCTTGACTTATGTATATCGCGACTCTGATCTTAAGTTCCAGATTCTTAAACGATTTCTGACATTGGCCTAAAGACGGAAAATGATGGTACTGATATCAACACCGCTGACTTAAAAATGGGAAACGGAGTTGGCGCGAGTCTTTATTGGGAGAACTTGCCGAGCAGTCAGTCATATCGCGTGACGACTGTAATATTTTTCTAGCGGATATATATGCTATAAAGAAAGCTACTTGTCTGGTGCCGAATAGTAATAGCTCATTTCCACCAAAAGATTAATTGCCGGGTAAGTTTTACGAATTTTAACACGGAGTGATAGGTAAGATTTTTTCTTTCTTATTGTCTATAATTTTTTTTTTGCAATAGGCAGTTAAACTTTAGGTGGAAATGGATATTAGGCTCTCACTATATTCGCTGGCAGCCAAAAGACCTTGAATGCGTTAAGGTCAGAAGTAGTAAAGTCAAGAATTGTTCGTAAATGTCGCGCATCGCTAACATCACTGGGTCAGTGTTCCAACGTTGACGTATTTCGGGTTAAAGAAAAGGAGCAATCGATTCACCATATTTTATGTCAATGCCCAGTCGAGGCGTCTAAGGCTCTTGCCATTTTGCTTATTTACTAACTTGGTGGTGATAATGGGAGTAAAACTGTTGCACCACCTCAATTCCATCTGGGACCGTAAAAGCTTTAATTGACACTATAATATTATTAGCTTTTATAGAAGGCATTCATAATGGACTAATATGCCTACGAGTTGCAGTATGAACGCTTCATATACGCCTTACTAACCAAACCCATTTGTTTTTGCGTGTGCCCCCAAAGGAATACTTCAATAGCTTTTGTTGGCAAATTTAACAAGCAAACATTTCCTATAATTTCTTTGTCATTGGCATATATTTATGTATGTATAATCATTCGTACCTATTCGCGTATATTTATCTATGCAAACAGTGAAATAAACTTTTTCACCCAGCTTTTTTCCAGCCACAAACTTAAGAGATTGTACTTCATGAAAAATCATAGTTTTTCACTTCGACTTACCTTAAAGCTATTATTTTACATTGTTCTTCGGGTGAAGGCAGTCGATGATTCAAAGGCACATCTTTATTTATATCATTAGGCAGTTGCGTATTGTCGCCAATTTGGCTGACATTTATGGCGTAGAGTGCGTCGACCGCATCGGCCGACAACACGGACGGAGATAGGGCGGGCGTCAATACCCCATTATCGCCGATCACCATCGAGGTGCTAATGGACGTGTCAACATGATGCATACAATCGGGTGTGACCGTCATGTCACCCAACGCTTCGCTGGAGGTCCACTTGCGGAGATCTTCAATGGCGGCGGGCTGGAAAAGAACAAAATAAAAATGATGTGTAGATGTAAATAAGGAAATGAAGTCAACTTAATTTGTAGAACTGGCAATATCAAGATTATATTAATTAATTGCAATTTTTCTTTTTAGAGCAAACATAGAAGGAGAAAACACGCGAATATAAATTGGCATACATATGTATGTATATTAGCAAGACGATTTGTCACATAAGACTTAAGTAATAAACAAACTAATGCGAAGGAGAAACTACATTTCTGCGCGAGCTTCTTAATTGCATACATATATACATATAAGGGTGTTCCAGAAAATAAGAGATAAGTTGTTTCTTCAAAGTTGGATATGCGGCGCGCCATCATTTCAATTCATATAAAAAATCTGCATGTTTTTCACACATATACGGGAGCTGCAGCGTATTAAATATACGTTTATAGTGTTTGATGCACTTTAAAGATGCAAACTTTATTCAGAACATTTTTCGTTTTTCTCTAAAGGGTGTCTTTGTCGTCAAGTTGAAGTACCGGTAGGCCCAAGAAAAGTGCTGTTGAACGAAAGCGAACGAAGCGGAAAAGGGGCTGAGTGGGTTCAATGGAATTACGTGAGGAGGTGATTTATGTCGATTGAGATCCCTTTACAAGCCAGACATATCGCCCGTTTAATAATATACAGACATATTTCAAAATTTATATTTTTGGGAAAACGCAATCAAAGTTTGAACAGTTCATACAATTTGTATACCAAAAGGCAGATGAAAAGACACGTAACTTCGCCATTTTTGAGAAATATAGTCATCTTTAAGGCTGTGCATATTCTCCTTACCAAACTTATTAATTGTATGTTTCAATCTCTAATAACTTAAATCTTAAATTATATCCCTATATTATTACACGTGCGATATGTTTTATTAATAAGATGCATTAAAATATTAAAATAGAAAAAAAACCGCCATTCGCCAAGGTATGCTGTCAAAAACTTTTTTGTTGAGGCTCTGTACTTTATTAACAAATTCACAAGAGATATACGTTTACCCTTGAGGAAGTGGCTTATACTACGGAGGTATAGTTTCAAAGGTTGTCTGAATGCAAGTCGATCATCCTCATCAAAGGCGTATGCAATGTAGATACATATTACGCCGTGAGATAATAACTTTCTCAGCACAAGAACTCGCGTGGAAATTATTTCAATCCGAATGCCAGCATTCTTTAAAATAGCCTCAAACTATAGGAGTTTAAAATATGGACATTTGGGCATCAATTCAGATAAGAATGCAAAAAAACTATAAATCTTATGTATGGTAGCTTTGGTATAACTTCGTAACCAACACTTCAACTTCAAGTCGGCAGGGGTTGTTGTCATTATACAGCAATAAAACTTGAATACATAAATGTTATTTATGTTATTTAGGTCAAAACGAAAAATTTTATTGGGAATGCGAATTGCGTTCGCGAAAAAAAAATCTGGGAGACCCTAATACTTAAATATTATTAGCAGGGAACGGATTTTTAGGACCTAAAAACCTATAAAAAAGGCAAAATAAAAAAGCGAAAAAGGCAGGAAAAGGCACTAGGTATTGCAAAAAAGGCAAAACAAAATAGCGAAAAAAGCCAGAAAAAAGGCAAAAAAAAAGTATTGAAAAAAAAGCAAAATAAGGCACTAAAAAAGACAGAAAATACGAAGAACAATCAAAAAATATATTTATTTTAGAAATGCTTATATTACAAGTAAAAAGAGAAAAACTATGAACTAGTTTCTTAATATGAAAAATTTGTACTTTAAGGGCCGGTTACTCAATGTCTGGTTAACGCTAATCTCCCGTTAAACATAGTTATCGACGTTACCGACTCCCTGTTGTATGCATGGAGTCGAAGACGTCGATAACGATGTTTAACCGCAGATTAGTGTTAACCAGACATTGAGTAACCGGCCCTGAATCTTTGACTATTTTATCCTTTCGAGTTTCTAACTCATAAAACTTTAATCTGTATAGTTGTAGTAACATTGAACCACAAGATGCATATTGAAGTCGAAGCAATTATCTTAAAAAAGGCAAAAAAGGCAAATATCTTAAAAAAGGCAAAAAAGGCAACTTCAAATGTGTATATATGGAATCAGGGAAAGCTAAATCGTGGACATTCTTAATCGAATATACTCTATCTCTTTAGCAGAAAAAAAGGCAATTTCCATAAAATCCGTTCCCTGATTATTAGGTATGCTTTTGTTGAATACTAGCTTATACCCGCGGGTTTCACCCCGCGCTTTTATACAAATATGAAAAATAATTTAATGATGTTAGATTTTATTTCTGTGCCCATTATTATTTATTAAGCGAGTTAAGGTATTTAGGCCGTTTAAAACTATGAAATTATAAAATCTCGTCTGCGCGCTAGGCATACGAAAGATATCAATCCCTCTAAGTTTACCTTAAAATGGTTCC